AAAATCTTTTTTTTTTTTTACTAGAATGTCTACAATTTGATTTGTGCAAGTTTTTTTTCTTCCATAGAGTTGTATGTCTATTGTATGATTATTTTAAATTTAAAATATATATATATATATGTATATATAAAAATAAAAATTACTCCTGCACTCAAGCTTTAGTATCCCTTAGTGACCGGGTGCAAGCTAAAGACGGCTGTTTTATCCATTCATCCAAGTAGGTAGCTGCACTCATGAATTATAAAAGTCCAAAGTTTATTAAAAAAAAGGTTAAATGAACGTTTCAGTCCTCCATAGAGGACTTTCATCAGGATCAAATAAAAAGTTTTTTTTTTTTATTTGATCCTGATGAAAGTCCTCTATGGAGGACTGAAACGTTGATCGCTGGTTTTTTAACCTTTTTTCAATAAACTTTGGACTTTTATAATCAGTGAGTTGCTAGGTTGCTAGGATTGTTGAACCTGCACTGTAATATAACAGGGACATCCAGTGATTATTTTTAAAAGTTTTCCTGGAAAATGATGACTAACAAGTTTGATGAAATTTACCTAATTCCAAGCATATTTTTTTCTGCTTGTCTCTATATTTAGTGTTACCAATGGTTTTAAATTGTTCGGCGACTTTGAACATTTATTTTCAATATTTATCAATATTTCAGATATGCCTTTACTCTTACGTTTAATTGAGTTACAAATGGCACACAATTTATTGGAGTTTTTTTATTCCAAAGTATGAAAATTAATGTTTGAAAAAGATTACCTGCTTATTACCAGCATATTTTTTTTTTAAATTTGCCTTCATGATTAATATTTGTTCTTTATAACAGAAATTGGACATACATTACTAAAACAAGCTCACTTCAAATCTTTAACACTTTGCCATCTAGTCACTGAAGAGTTTGTTCTTGTGGCTTATAAATTAATTGAAGAATGGGCAGTTAAAGGAACACTATAGTTCCAGGCTTCCTCGGCCCTGGTGACCTCTCCTCCCCTACTGACGTCAGCTCCCGAGTGAAGCCGAATGCGCATGCACGACCATAGCCGCACGCGCATTCAAACCACCCATAGGAAAGCATTACTCAATTAAAACTATGGGGAACTGGCACCCAGACCACTTCATTGAGCTGAAGTGGTCTGGGTGCCTTTAGTGGTCCTTTAACTTCAGAATCAACTTTTAGGTGTTTATCGACTAAGGTAGACTTTGGAATAGGGAGTATGTAATATTAGGGGAACATGTAAAATTGTCGATAAATATGGAAAGCTTTTATTGGGTGGACTTATTACTGTCATTGTCCAGGACTTCACTTGTTTCTAAAGGGACACTCCAATCACTGTAATAACCTACTTAAGATTGTGTAGGATATGGTGCAAGGAGGACCACTGTAGCTTTTCCCTTGCACATATTTATTTCTAAGTGCAGTGAATTGCAACAGTGGGAAGCTATACAGGTCCATTTATAATGTTTTATACAGGCACATAAACAATCCTTAGCGTAGGCGTGGGGAAGTTTTGGACTACATCTCCCATAATTTTTTTAAAGCCATAATGCTGGCAAAGCATCAAGGGAGATGTAGTCCAAAACATCTGGAGGGCCGAAGGTTCCCCAACCCTGCCTTAGGGCATAAATGGTTGTCATTGCTATGTCCCTGTTCAGAGGTTGTTACATGCATGTCTCTAGGTAAATGCTGATATTGACATTAATGGGAATTTCTCACATGTGATCGTACTCATATAATGACTGCATATTTGGAAATATTCACAGGCACGCACAACATTTCTAACACTGTGTGTGTTGCTATCTTCCTACATGGCTGCCCTCACCTCTTCACATTACTCATTGTTAAAACATATTCCATAGCATAACTGTGAAGACTGTGGAAAATTATGGCACTAGTAAATCATGATGGTAATAATAATAATAATAATAATATACCCTTTTGAAACTTGAGACTCCATGTTTATGGCTGCGTGGAGGAGACTTGGAGGTGGATTTAAATAAAACAAACTAATTCCAGACTGTATTATATAGCTTTTGTCTATAATGTACATTAATTGTGAGTATCAGTGAGTCTAAGAGGTATGTAGTCATGGACCTTATCCCCACATTCATCCTTTTTTTTCAATTAACCGCTTGATCTATTCTTTCTTTCTTACCTCTCTCAGTTATAACAGGTTTAGCGGTACATCTGGGGTAAATTCTTTACCCTTTAAGTAAGTATAGCCCTTCATACTATAGCAATTTAAAATTGCTGCCTGCTCACCTTTCCAAAAATGAGACATAGGCCAAGTTTGAAAATTCTGTATTTCAAAACTAAAATGGCTGCTTCCCAAATGTGTCCCTTTAATTTCATCAGAAAAATGGAAAGTGCTTACTCATAAGGAGTTTGCTTACCAATGTGCTCCCTGCAGTGGTGCAGCATTTCAGCCTCAATTCCTGACATATCCAGCTATGTTGTATGTCCTGTGAATTGGACTACTATGCTGTGGATTTATGGTTTTTACCCTTGGATGAATATATAGGAACATATAACCTTATTCAAATTGCTCAGTGCTTGTTGCAGCTGAGATATGTTCTTCTCTTGTTACCTGAAATTTACTTGGCAGGCGCATCATGCTACACATCAGATCTCCATTCAGGTTACTGGGTGAAATTACAAATGTATTGGGCATCACTTCTTCTCTTTCTAATTATTTATGTCCAACCCTTTTCCTCCCTCCAATTTATTCTCATCTAAACATCAGTACCCCTCTTCATTCTACCTCCTTTCAAGTTAAGTACATAGTCTCCTGCCTCAGTGGTCCTCTTTTTTTTATTTTTTTTATTTAAAGTCAGTACATTATACAGCATTTTCGTTACTTAAGTTTAACAGGTATATGAGAGTGCATGGTACAGAACGTAGTGGTTACATTGGTCGGATAATCATAGAATCATACAATCATACATTTAGCAGTACAAGATCAGATATGAGATAGTGTCTGTGCGCTGGGTGTGTAGGGATATGAGTGATAGTGGGGGTTTACTACCTCTTCCTACATCCCCACGGTTGTATGTGGGCCGGCTCCTTTTCCCGGTGAGGGAAAGAGAGGGGGGGGGGAGGTGGAGTGTCTTCGGTCTCTAAGTGGTCTGGCGGAGGTATTGGGTCCAGGGGTACCAGGTCTCTGTGTAGAGTTGGTATTGGTTTGATAGGGCATAGCACGTTTCTTCTAGACTTCTGGTATTTTCTACTTTTTGTATCCACTCGCGTATGGTCGGGGGGTTTGGTTGTTTCCATAGGGCTGGAATAAGCTGGTTCGCAGCTGTTATCAGATGTATGAGCAGGGCCGCCGTATGTTTCGGTAAGCCGTATGGGGTGAGGAGGAATATGTATGTGTCTGGGTCTAAGGGGACAGTTATCTTGAGTATGGCGTGGATCAGGCCTGCTACGCGTGTCCAAAATGTTTGTATCACTGGGCATGACCACCAAATATGCGAGGTGGTGCCCACTGCTGAGTGGCAGCGCCAACATTGTTTGGAGGTTGCGGGGAATAGGGAGTGTAGTTTTGAGGGCGTGTAATGCCACCTCGTTATTCTTTTATAGTTGCTTTCCTGTGTGGTTGTGTTTTTTGAGGATTTGTGTATTTGTTTAAAAATTTGTTTCCATTTGTCGGGCTGTATTACGAGGTTTAACTCTTTTTCCCAAGTGGCAGTGAAGGTCGGCAATTGTTGTGGCCTTGTGGATAGAATTTGGGAGTACATTGTTGATATGTGTTTTGTTCTTATGGATTGGAGGGAACAGCATTTTTCAAAGTTAGTCTGTGCACGGCTGCCGTTGAGGGTTAGGGATTTAGATTGAATAAAGTGTGTCAGTTGCCTGTACTGATACGTTTGCATAGCCGTAGGGTTAGTTATAAATGCTTGTAAGGGCTTTGTTACTTTTGCCCCGACAGTTGTCAAGGCATTCTCCAATGTCAGATATGGTGTTGTATGGAAGGCCCGGAGAGATTTGCCGTCTGCTCCCGGCTGGAATAGGGGGTTATGTGTGAGCGGGTATAGTGGCGATGGGTAGGGCGACATCAGGTTGTGTGTGTGAGTGGTTGCCCACATGCGAAGGGTCGGTGTGATAGTGGGATGTGGGTTGTGGAGCAGTAGTACTTGCCCTGATTTGTGCCAGGGTATTGTGTAGATAGGTACTCTGAAAAAGGAGTCCTCTAAGGTCACCCATTGTTTCCCGGAATTCGGGAGGGACCAGTCGTATATCCTGGATAGCAGTATTGCGTTGTGGTATGTTTCAACATCGGGCAGACCCAGGCCGCCCCTGTCTTTAGGTTTTGTGAGTAATGAGTACGATATTCGTGGAGGTATGTGAGCCCAGATAAATGTGGTGAGTGTTTTACGGACTGTAGTGAACCAGGACTTGGGAATAGTTATAGGGAGCACTTGCAGTATGTATAGTATTCTGGGTAGGACGTTCATCTTGAGGATGTTCGTCCTACAGAACCACCCAAAGTGTGGCCTGTTCCATGTGGTGAGGTCTTGCGTTATGGCCCTTATTAGGTCGGGGAAGTTGTTCTCGAATAGTTGGGAAAGGTTCCTGGTGATGTTGATTCCCAAGTATTTGATACTATGTGTCGCCCATGTGAATTGGTGGTCCCTGCGCAGGGCCTCTTTCTCACATGTTTCAATGTGTATCGGGAGGATCTCACATTTGCTAATGTTGGCTTTAAAGTTGGAAAGTGTGCTGTAGGTAGCCATTTCTGACATCAGGTGGGGTATTGATGCTATTGGGTCTGCCAGGGTGAAAAGCACATCATCGGCAAATGCCGCTATTTTGTGTTCCTCCGTCCCCGCCTGGATGCCCTTGATGTTAGTGTTGTCCCGGATCCCCTGCAGAAAGGGCTCCAAGACAAGAACAAAGAGGAGCGGGGAGAGGGGGCACCCCTGTCTAGTGCCGTTGGAGATTCCTACCGGGTCGGTGAGTTGTCCATTTATCCGGACATTGGCGGTTGGGCACGAGTAGATCGCTGAAATCCACTTGTGCCAGTGTGTCCCAAATCCTAAGTGTTTAAGCGTCTGTAGCATCAGGGTCCAGTCTACTCTGTCAAACGCTTTCTCAGCATCAATTGACAGGAGCAGACTGGGGTGCCCGGCTCGTGTGGCGTGGTGCATAAGATTCAGGATCTTGGTGGTGTTGTGCTTGGCTTCTCTGCCCGGGATAAAACCGGACTGATCTGCATGCACCAATCCTGGAAGTATCGGGCGCAGTCTGTTAGCTAGGATTTTCGTGAAGATTTTTATGTCCGCATTTATTAAGGAAATGGGTCTGTAGCTGCCGCATTGGGTTAAATCTTTGCCTGGTTTTGGGAGCAGGGTGATGGTTGCATTAAGAGCCTGGGGTGGGAGCTTGTCTGAGCGTAGCAGTGAGTTGAAAGCGTTTACGAAATGGGGTGTAAGTGTCTCCGCGAAGGTTTTGTAATATTTTGCTGTGAACCCGTCTGGCCCTGGGCTTTTCCCATGTGGTAGATGTTTAATTACGTCTACACATTCGTCCGCGGAGATGGGCTGTTCTAAGGATTCCTTTATGTTGTTTGGGATGGAGTGGTGTATTCTCTTCTCTAAGAACACCGTTATGTCCTGTGTCTGGGGGGCTGTATGTCGGAGATTGTATAGGGTTGAGTAATAGTCGTGGAAGGCCTTTGATATGTCGGTCATTGAATGCGAGAGTTTCCCTTCTTTATTGCGTATAGCCGCTATGAATGTGTGTTCTCGTTGTTTTTTTAGGGCATAGGCTAGGAGTTTTCCACATTTTCCTCCTTGGGCATAGTAGAGGCTTTTTGTTTTAGCCAGGGCGTGTTTGGTGCGGGTGTTTAGGATGGAATTAAGTTCCGTCCTCTTTTCTAGTAGTCGCGCATATGTGGTGAGGGAGGTGTCTTGTTTGTGTGTGTCTTCTAGTGTTCTAATTTCATTGGTTATTTTAGTAGCCTGTGCTTCTCTATGTATTTTGTGTTTAGACGCCAGTTGGATGATCGTTCCCCTAATGTAGCTTTTGTGTGCTTCCCACACGATCGGACATGAGGTTCCGCGTTGTGTGTTTTGGTCAAAGTAGTGAGACAGTCCTTCCCTGATTTGAGTTTGTATCTCCGGATTGTTTAAGAGGGTATCATTTAATTTCCATTGAGATCTATTAGGGTGCAGCGATGGGATGGCGATGGTCATTGATATTGGGGCATGGTCAGACCAGGTAATCGTGGCGTACTTGCATGTGTGGACTAGGTGTAGGAACCGGTGAGGGATGAGAAACATATCAATTCTAGAATAAGTGCCTGATGAGTGAGAGTAAAACGAGTAGTCGCGTTCTGCTGGGTTGGTGATACGCCAACTATCATATAATTGGTGTGAGTCCAGGAGTGCCTGGATGCGGGTTCTGGATGAGGCTTGGTATGCTTGGGCCTGGGAGGTGGTATCTAGTGTCCCATCTAAGGAGATGTTAAAGTCGCCTCCCACTATCAATAAGCCCTCTTTGAAGGTATCTAGCTTGGTCAGTATTTTGCGTAGGGCAGGGGTTTGCTTCCTATTAGGGAGATAGATGTTCACCAAGGTGACTGTTGTATTTCCTATCAGTCCTTTAAGAAAGAGGAATCTGCCATTGTCATCTGCAAGTTGGTCTATGTATATGAATGGTAGGTGGGAGGATAGTAGAATCGCTACCCCCCTCGATTTGGCTTCCACATAATTGCTAAAGTAACCTTTGGAGTAGGTTCTGGATTTAAGTGAAGGGGCGGAGTTCTTGCGAAAATATGTCTCCTGTATAAATACCACATCTGCCTTGTGTCTATGATAGTCTGATAGTGCCATGTGTCGTTTTTCTGGTGTGTTAAGACCCCTCGCATTGTGGGAGGTGACCGTGATAGTGACTGGAGCCCCGGGTGGTCCTACCCCTGGAGGATTTGTAGACCTGCTCTGTAGGTGCCTATGATCCATGGTATCTTGATCTCCTTGTAACTATGGATGGTGTATACACTGTGCAATGTATAGTGTCGTTCAGTACACAAATAAAATACAATATAATAAAGTAAAGTAAATTCACAAAAACAGTGGTAACGTTAACAATTTTAAACTATATACAATTTGCCAGGTCTAATCCTAGCACGGAAGATGGGTACCGTTGTACAACTTAAGATATATAGTGCGGTGTAAGTGACAAAAACTTATACCATTAAGTGGAGCGCTTTAACATATATAGCTTACCAGCTTGTTTCTCATTCAATATTAACATATAGGATGCATGTCAAAGAGAAAATACAAAAGGTACAATATAGTGCAGATGGTTTTAAAACAATAAAATAATATGAAAATTAAGGTAATGATATCTTGATAAATGGAACACTCACATTTATAGGAGCCTGTATATAGAAAACTGGCTCCGTATATTGGCTTGTGTGCTTATAAGGGGTAGCACCACCCGTCTCCTTCAATGTAAGGTGTTTCTGGTCCTGAGCCTGTGGGTCCCGGCTCTAGGTATATAAGTATTGTACCAATTTGAATGGGGATGGTACTACCCCTGGGAAGATACTCTCGAGGTTTCCAGAAAAAGACTTTTAAAAGGATCTTGTATAAAAAGTAACAAATTTATTGGAATTACAAAATAAAAACATTAATTATAAAAAAAGTCCTTAATAAAAAGTCCTGTTGAAATAGCCAAAACGCGTTTCACTCCTTGCTTGGAGCTTCCTCAGTCAGCTGTAATGTTTGGTCCTCAAGATCTTCCCTTTTAAATGGTTTTGGAGTCCTCCCCTTTAATGACTTCAATCTACTGTACGTGCAGTCGCTTATGTGCGACTATGATGACTGGTGTCGGCCTCTGAGATGTCCCTGAGTCTGCAGAAGGCCCGCTTATCGTGACACCGTTGGTTAAATTGAGATCAGCGTAGGGTGGGGTGAGTGGATACCGTATGTAAGAATGGTATCTGGTTCGTTGTGGTGTTTCGATGTTTGTCGTAGTATACTTTGTAAGCCGTGGGGCTGAAAACTTATAAGCTTATACTAGTGTAGTGGAGTGATGGTGCTGTGTGGTGGAGCCTATGGGGGGGGGGGAGAGAGGGAACAGGTACCTTTGTCCCATAGGACGGCCTAAATGGTTGTAAACATTGTCTCGAGAGAAGACGTACTTTTTTTTTTTTTCCTCTCTATCTTTCCTTTACTCTGGTGTGGGTTGTCTCAACAATTTCCCTATTTGTGTGTCTCAATCTGAGGTTTAAGCTAGAAATGTTCTACCGGGGGGACGTATTGTGAGCACATGTGTGTTATAAATATACAATTTTTTTTTTTTTCTTTTTTCATTGAGCATACGACCTGGCGTTGAAAGTCCAGCAGGGTATCCTGACTGTTGTGGGTTGCCGCTCATGGTTGCAGCGGGTGTTCACATGTCCTGCCTTGGTTCAGTAGTAAGTCCAGTTAGTCCATTATGACGGGGGTCGCTGTAAGTAGGCATCTGAAAATTACGTTCTCTCTTCCTCTGTGTGGTTTCGTATGTTAGAGTTGTCATCGTGGGATGGTGAAGGTCCTGTATTGAAGTGAATGTTGCCGATCCATCTAGGCATCTTATGTTCATATTAGTTAGTCGTCCATGGCTCCTCTAGGTCTTCTCTCTCGTGGGTGTTGGGGACTGGCTGGTCCGGTTCTCTGTTTTTTCGCTTGTGATTGTCTTCTCGGATCATGAGGTTGTTTATTGTGGGAGGTTGCTGGGTCTGGCGAGTACCAGTCCACAACCTGCGTGTCGTTCAGGTTCAGTGCCCTTATAAATGGGGCGACATCTTGGTGCATTGTGATAGTGAATACAGCTCCTCTAGTGGCGACTGTGAGGGCGAATGGAAAGCCCCATCTGTATTTGATGTTGCGAAGTCGCAGCTGGTCTGTGACAGGTTTTAAGGTTCTTCTCGCCTGTAGGGTGAGCCATGATAGGTCCGGGTATATTTGGATTTCTTGGCCCAGGTATAGCAGTGGGACGGAGGTATCCCTTAGAGTTTTCAGGATGTCTTCCTTTAGCGTGAAATAATGCATGCGGCATATTATGTCTCGTGGCATTTCACCTGCCCCACTCTTTGGCCGTAAGGACCTGTGCGCTCTGTCCAAGAGTATTTGTGTGTCTGGCGGGCGGCCCAGTATGGAGTTAAAGAGGGTGGTTAGCAGATTTTCATTGTCCGCCTCTTGAAGCCCCCTTATACGGAGATTATTTCTCCGTCCCCTGTTGTCCAAGTCGTCCAGTGACCTTTGCATCATGGAGAGGTGTCTGTCATGGGCATTTACTTTAGTGGTTAGGTCTTGTATCTGTGTCTGAAAGGATCCCCTCTCATCCTCCAGGTCTTGTACCCTGTGTCCTACCTTTTGGATATCAGAGCTGAGGCCCTCCATTTTGTGCTGAAATGTAGCTTCAATTTTCCCCAGCATCTGTGCCAGATCTGCTTTGGAGGGTAGGTTTCTCAATAGCTCCTTAATGTCCACATCTGGTGTGTCTGTGGAGCTCTCTGATGCCGCTGAGCTTTGTGGCTGGGAGCATAGGTAGGCCGCCGCCGGCGCCATGTTGGAGTCCCCATGTTCTGAAACGCGGTCGGCATAGTCGCGGAACAGGCGGGTTACCGATCCCGGTTTACCCGCAGGGGTCTTCCCCGTCGGTGGGTGAGTGGGCTGCTGTTTTTTATTGTTCCCCATCCCTGTTATGTGTCTCCGTTCACTTAGTTTTCAGCCCCGTCGGCTCGGAGCTGAATTAGTATGCGGCCATTCCGTCCGGTTGTCCTCAGTGGTCCTCTTTAGCATCATTCTTAATTCCCACTGTCTGTTCTTATTTCTTTCCTATAGTCTTGGGTCTCCAACCATCGGAAAAAAGATTTGTAGATTTTATTATACTCAGAATTACATATGCAGGAGCAGAGATGTATCTATGCTGGAAAGACTGATTGATCTTTGACCCATTTTTAACTTCTCTATATTTTATACACGTTCATAACATGCTGTCAGGATTACAGTATGATCCAGCACGTAGCATTGTGTAACACAGAGGACTGATAGGTAACGTATACCGGGCCTTAGAATTGCCGGACTAACGTACCAAAGAATAGTTAGAAATAGCCGAGGTCAAGGGATACAGAAAAAGACACAACGATAAGGAAAAGCCAGGGGTCAGGGATGCCAGAAAACATTGAAGTCAATATCAATGCCAAAGTCAAATAACCAGAAAAACCATAATCAATAACGCGCTCT